GTCACATCCACCCCGTTCCGTATTCTTCTCATGTTGTGTTTCACCTCCGGCCTGCTCATGCGCCGCCTGAGCCATCCTGGTCCTTGATCAGGGTGCCATTTTATCCTTCCTCTCCTCAGTTTGTGGTAGCCCCTTCAGTTCAAGATTGTTTTTCAGAGGTCATACTTTGTTGGCATTGACCTCTGTGGGTCAAGTCGGGGAGCTGTCAGCTCTTTTCGATGCAGAGGTTTCTGCTCTTTTGGTACTGGTGGTAAGTTTGTACGCTTGCAGCCTTTCTCCGTCCTTCTGGCGACGGTCGAGATGGCTGCTTACTGGAGGGGTCTTTGGGTTTTTGATGCTTGGTTCGGCCGGGGGTGTGACATGTGTTGTTTGGTTGCGGCTCTGTGCAGTTACCTGCGTGCTGTGGCTAGGGATGCGCTTTGGTTGATCTGGTTTTCCTTGTTCCCTGTTCAGGGCTCGGGTCTCCCAGGTCGTCCGCAGTTTTCTTAAGTCTACCAGTCTGCGGTCTATCCTTGAGCCCGTGCCATTCGGATGTTTGCAGCTTTTGCTGTAGTGTTTGCTGACGTTTTTGGCTCATTTCAGGTACGAGGATTTAGGGGTCGCACAGGTTCCTGGCTGCCCGTTCATTTGTAAGCGTGTCTACCCCTGTGTGTTCTTGTGTTGCTTTGGGTTGCAGGTTGCTGCCTGTTGTCTCAACTTCGCGTTGCATTGTGGCGGCTGCCTCCCGGGTCAGCCCTTTCTTTTCCTTCTCTTTGGGTATGAAGCTCCAGGGAGCCGTAGGGGCTCCCCACAGAAAACCAGCGTTGAATATAATGAAACGCCAATTTCTAGGTGAGCCCGAGAAGTTCCCTGGCAACCCTCCTTTCCACCAGTCAGCATTTTTTTCGTGTTGGTTGAAGCTTAGCTTCCGAACTGGTGCTAGGCAGCCGGCGCAGCGAGGTCCAGGCCCCCCTCCCCCTCTCGGGGCAGGGAGGGCTGTGCGGACAATCAGCGCGGCAGTAAAGTGTGATTTTTGCTTGTTTGCTTGTTTCCTTTGGATTGTAGGGAGTTTCTTACCATGTGGGGTTTGTTTTGTTATGCCTACCTTTCTGGGTGCCTAACCCCAGTCGATGGCAGATACGGAAAAAACCCAACCACAAGGTGGTTTTCCAGGGTCAATGCGCCCTGAAACCTCTCTCTGAATAGGCCAGGTTCTGGTGCTGGTCCCTGGTAGGTCTAAACTCCATAGCTAATGTTCCGGTCTAATATGACATACATTAGCCCGATAAGCTCCAGGGAGCATTCAGGGCTCACCCAGAAAATGGCGTTTCATTACACTCAACGCTGGTTTTTTGCTGTTATTACACTATATACATATATTGTATAGAACTATCTACACTTTTGTGCACCATAATGAACCATAAAGATCATGCGTTGAGAGTTTATATACACTCAACAACAATCCACGGTCAGCCTAGCGGTCGACAGCGGAGTGTGGCAGGAGCTGCCCCAAATACATTTTACATATTCAAATAACAAAATTAAAAATTCAAATGTTTATTCAGGTAAAGTACATACATACAAGGTGTGATACAAACATTGATGGATTTATAGATAGAGCTAGTACATACAATGCCTAAAGCCACTTTTACGCACAGCGTTTCAGGCAGTTAATTATTTCAGTGGCTGTGAAAGGTTTTATATCTATTTTTTTTGCAGTAATATTATTCAATAGTGTGTAATTTGTGGAATATATACTATATAATTAAATGTGTGGAACATCGCTATTCTCAAAAAGATGGGACTCATATATTGTGACACATGCATTATTCTTAGATCAAGCAAACAGTGTTCTTGCTGTTATTACGCTATATACGCACGTTATATATCAATGTCAACATTTATATGTGCCATAACAAACTAATAAGCAGTTTTGGTGGGTATGGTAATGAAATAAAAACACAGCATAGAGCCAAAGCACTCACATGATGCAAGACAATGCTTCCAATATCCTCAAACATTCTAAACATCTCGCAATGACTAGCTACAAAACTGCTGTTATTATCACATTCCTGTCACAAAATCCCGAATATGAATAAATTTCCACAAGGTTATATTGTGGCTGGGTGCTGTGCCTGTACCTCATGCTGTGAATATCATAAGTAACATTGTATTCACTGATATCTGATTGTTGTACATAGTCTTTATCACAGTCAGGATCATCTATGACAATATCAACAAAAAATAATTTCAGTTATCCATTTTAATCATCATTACTAAGTGGTGATGTGGCCTCTAGCTGAACAGCGGTGCTGTGGCCCCTAGCTGCAATGGTGCTGTGGCCCCTAGCTGCAATGGTGCTGTGCGCTGCTCCTGCATGTGCCAGCCTTGGCTGCTCTCTCAGTACTAAGGCTCTCACAGCCAGCACAGATGCTGATGATTTTTTTTTCAAGATGGCGTCTGATTACAGGAGTTAAGAGGCACAGGATGTGAGCCCCCTGAACCTGCGGGAGTTTTGAATTGCTCCCAATACCTAAAATCACCATATGGCGCTCTGTGCATCCCCGATAGGGTGCCTTAACCCTTAAAGTGCACATCATGTCATATGACGTGTTGGACGTTGTTCCAGTCAACTGCGCATCACGTCATATGATGTGTTGGAGTACTACGCAAGATTTAAACGGCCCGTGGATACACGGGGTTCACCACACCTTCATCAGGGCTCTTGTAAACAGACGCCATTTTTTTTAAAAATCGTGGGCCAAACTCCCGGGTGTTAGGGGCCTCAGTATTGAGTGAGCAACCAAGCCTGACGCACGCAGCATGAGCTAACAGCACTGCTGTTCAGCTTGTGACCACAGCATCGCCTAAAAATGCCAAAATATACTTGTTCATGCTATTATGTAGCGATGATATTATCACAGAAGACCCCTGACTGTGGTAAAACTGACCAGGGTTCTGATAATAGCAGGATTGTGGTGATATTTAGCGCTGTGCACCATGGAGGGAGGAGTAATGCTGTGGGAGGGAGGGTGGTGGCCATGTCTTCTGACTATGTGTGGCCACCTTTTATTGACTGCACTCAGCATACCAGCTTAGTGGTTCGCTATGGTGAACACAAATGTAGATACTTATACATAACGTGTGTATAGAGGGTATAAACAGCAAGAGAAGGTTTGGAGCCGCCATTTTGGTGAGGTTGTAAACAACACCGTGCAGACGACGGTGTTGTTTACTGGTTACCACGATGGTCTTTGGGCACCATACCAGTTTATTTGTACAAGTATGGTGAATAAAACAGGTAGATATTTATATATAATGTGTGTATATAGCGTAATAACACCACACAGTATTGTTGGAGGAGAAATATTAGTGTGTCTGGCCTTGAGGGCGGCAGCCATCAGCTGACTGTGTGAGGTCCTACGTCTTTGTGCCTTTACTCACCATACAAGCTTAGACGTACAGTTATGGTGAACAAAACATGTAAATACTTATATATAACGTGTGTATATAAGATATATAGCGTAATAACACCACACAGTATTGTTGTAGGAGAAATATTAGTGCGTCAGGCCTTGAGGGCGGCAGCCATCAGCTGACTGTGTGAGGTCCTACGTCTTTGTGCCTTTACTCACCATACAAGCTTAGATGCAGTTATGGTGAACAAAACATGTAAATACTTATATATAACGTCTGTATATAGTGAATTATAGCAAAAACATTATTGTGGGAGGAGAATGTGGGTGAGTCAGATGACTGGAGGGAGGGCGGGAGTGGCTGGCTGGTACACGGCGGTCACTCCTCGTTACTTTTTGACTCATAATAGCTACTTAGTGGTTCGTTATAGTGAACAAAACATGCAGATACTTATATATAACCTGTGCTTATAGTGTAATAACCGACAAGGTATTTGTTCTCTGATTGATGAACATTATTGAATCAACAATACAGTATGCACACCATATTTTTGAGTACAGCGATGATTCACTCATTTTATTATATAAATATATCAAACTACACACTATTGAATAATATTACAGCAAAAAAACTATGAAAAATCAATCAGAGACATTGAAATAATTAGGTAATTATCTCTTTGTGGCAACTCCGGCCTGACAGCTGGCGAGCAACAGACCGCCTGGGACACATGCTGAGTCAGCGCCTATAATTTGCCAGATTTCCCCGCCCTATAGCGGGCAATATATGCCACTTACGATTTTTTTATTATTTTTCCCATGATCAGTGAACACAATTTAACAGGTTAGGAAGAAAAAATATTTTTTTTTTTTTTCAAAATGACATGCACCTGTGGGGATGACAGGATATTAAACCCTGAGCATGTTAAGGGTTAAGGCACTCTGCGGGGAAACCGGGGCAAAACTAAGAGTCTGCGAACATAAAGGGAAAAATTACTGTAGCTATGTTGTATTACTCCCCATGTTGGTGTTAGTTGTTTCTTGCAATGAAATGCATTCTTGAAGGGCATCATGCTTTGTAACATTAGAACATAAAGATCTTATTATGCTTTCACATGCATTGTTCAGTTCTTCCCACCTTTGGAAGTGAGAGAATTAATTCACTAGCTCCCTCTCCCTCTCATTAATCAAAGCTTCATTTATCTCTGAAATTCTATCTCCAATACTCTGTAAGTTCAATCATATCATCATTATTTCAGTAATAGTATTTCTTGGGCATCCTAAGATTATTCTCATGGCTTCATTTTGTACCTTCTCCAACTTGTTTAGTCTGCCTTTACCAAAACACGATATGACAGCGGCAGCATAATCGATAAGAGATCTTACTGTATGCAATGTGATTACCATTGGAATGTGAAATGTAAAATATGATTAATAATTGTGTACTCTATTGGTTTGTGAGCCCCTTGAGGGATGTTATGTAGACAAGGGTAGAAATAGCCTAAGCTACTCTATCCTTTTAAGATGTACTTCCTTTTCTCAATAAACTTACTTGAACTTGAATTTATGGTAAAAAGAAGAAAAATCACAGTAAAATAATTTTACCTCTATGACAGTCTCCATTGTAAGTGAAAACTGGTTAGCAAGTTTTGGGAGGAACTTCCTCTCATTCCCAGGACAGAAGACACCAGCTGCAGTAGCTACTAGGACATGTGGGGGGTCAGTGTCCAAAGCCCATGACTTGACTCGATATTGTAACCAAATTGGCCCACCATGTAGCTGGAACACCCGACCTTGTGAGAGAGAGAACTTATGAATAGTTTACAAAAGTGGCAATTTGTCTTGCATAGAAAATATTAAACAATTAAATCAAAGTAGTGCAAAGTTATTTTCATATTTTATCTTCAACTTAAGTTTGTCAATTTTTCACTCTTATTTTTATTATTTACCATTACACACTAAAAGCTCTTAATATATACCACTACAGCCCATACATTGTATGGGTTGATGTATGAGCCTGTAATAAAGTTATATAAAAATTGCCTTTCTAGATGGATCATTTAGGTACTCCCTAAAGTAAGATCCACAGAGGAGAGGATCAAGCACAGTTAAGGCAGGATAGCATAATTGCACAACACTAAAAGGGGGGAACTTCCCAAACTGTTCCTGTTGTCATAATGAGGGTTCTGCAGCACAGTAGTCAGGGGCAACAGATTCACAACAAAGGTCCAAGTTACAATTCCCATGGCAGAACTGGAACATTTGAGCACGATTACATTTACCTGATGCCTCTGTTCACCTATCAGTAAGTAGGTAAATCAAAGTTAGGCAACTATCATCAGTTGAATCCTATGGAAGGTCAATAGTTGGCCTAGGTGAACACTGATTAAGCCTAATAAGCTGTCTGTTACTATGGGAACCAGTTAATGGTCACTAGGTCAACCAGCTGTTGCTACATAAACGCTGTGTCTTGTTGATAGTCTGTTCGGTAGCTTCACGTCATCTCTTGTCTCTCAGCTTTTTTTTTTTATCTTGCCTTTCTTTATTTCTAGTAGACAAGATTAGGCTAGTTAGCCTATTTCTTGGTACCCAGACACCTGTCTAAACCAGTAAACTGCTAGAAGCCTCAGCTGTTATTTTAGTTTATATGTAATTCAGAATTAAAATGCAAGTTTGAGTATTAGAATCGGCTTGGTAATTTTCAGCATCAGCATACAGCAGTTCATGCAGTTCAGGAAGTTGTTGACTTGAGATTTATTTTGTTGACACGTTCAATGATAAAGTCACCATCTGGTAATGTGATAAAATTCTTGGCTGGAAATCTTCTCACAGCTACATTGTGAGTAGGCAAGGCTGCAGGGGCTGTGTTGCCCGATTATGTGTATTCACTGCAAGCAACTCCTGCTTTACCCAGACTGTTCACCCTCACCTACTGAAATGAGGAAATCTTCATGCAAACTGCACATATTGTGAAAAAGAAGAAATGAGGTACAGAGAAAACTAATGCATTGAGAACACCACCCTAGAAAAAAAAAAAAAAAAAAAAAAGAGTTGCCACAAGACCCTTTCCACCAGAGAAAGAGGAAGTCTTGAACTTCGGCCAAAACACCTGCTATTCAACCAAGTCAGGAAAGAGCAGGGACAAGAAGCTTGAGAAATGTGACAGAAAATGTGTCCAACTCAATTGAAAGGCAGCAAAAGTTAGTACCTTGTAACTCAATCAACACAAACCCAAAGCACCTTATCTGCAGGTAACTCAAGTGTGGAAATACATCAGTCTCTTTGCAGATAAATAGATAATGTCTTGTAAACAATGTTAACTGTTTACAATGTGCATGCATAAACACCCCTCAACACCACCATCAATATTAGCTTTAGCAAAACTTGCCAAAGGACACTTAGAACTCACTTGGAGATAGTCTAAAAGACAGGTCACACTTGGCTAATCCACTAGGCACAGCCTAGTGATGACTTGCCACTGGCAGTTATAATGAATGTGAGGATTTCAGGCTGAAGCAGGGCCTGCCTTATGGTTGTGCAGCCATCTGGAAGGGCTTGGGGTAGAATGTATTTTGATTGATATTTTAGGCTGTTTGGCCTTCAACTGATGAAAATTGCAGTCCCCTGTCGTGTAGTGGTAAAACACACATTCGGCACTTCGCGAGCGCTTTGGCCTGGGTTCATATTCTGTCCGGGGAGAATTTACTGGGTGCCAATCCTTAACTGTAGCCTCTGTTTACCCAGCAGTGAATGGGTACCTGGTTGTTGAATGATTTGGAAACTCCTGAAACTCTATGCGTGCTAGTGGCTTTAGAAGAATATATGAATTCTTGTGAACTGTATATATAAATAAATAAATAATGTACATGACAAACATATTTATGCTGGACTTGAGAAGAGACAGCTTCTAAAAAGGTTCCTATAGTGTAGTAGTCTAAGTCGATGGATAACAACCAAGGGTCTTGGAAGCATTTAGGCAATGTTTCCTCTCAGCTGATGCAGTTTACCAAGCAGTATATAGCTAAAGTGGAACCTCGGTTGATGAATACCCCTCTCTACGAATTTTTTGGTTTATGAGCTCAATTTTTTCATCAAATTTCATTCTGTATATGAGCTTTGCTTCATTTGGTGAGTTTGTTGAAATACATATGGGTTGACCAAGCGCCTGATTTCTGGTGGCATAGGCAAGGAGCGTTTCAGTTTACCAGTGTCTCCCGCCTAGTGATGATTGTGCTTGAATATTGTATTTGGGAGGACAGCAGGATGGATGGTGAAGAGACTGTATGGATGGATGGATGGATGGTGAGAGGACTGGATGGATGGTGAGGGGGACTGGATGGATATATGGTGAGGGGACTGGATGGATATATGGTGAGGGGACTGGATGGATGGATGGTGAGGGGACTGGATGGATGGATGGTGAGGGGACTGGATGGATGGATGGTGAGGGGACTGGATGGACGGTGAGGGGGACTGGATGGATATATGGTGAGGGGACTGGATGGATGGTAAGGGGACTGGATGGATGGTGAGGGGACTGGATGGATGGTGAGGGGACTGGATGGATATATGGTGAGGGGACTGGATGGATATATGGTGAGGGGACTGGATGGATGTTGAGGGACTAGATGGATGGTGAGGGGACTAGATGGATGGTGAGGGGACTGGATGGATGGTGAGGGGACTGGATGGATGGTAAGGGGACTGGATGGATGGTGAGGGACTGGATGGATGGTGAGAGGGACTGGATGAATGGTGAGAGGGATTGGATGAATGGTGAGGGGACTGGATGAATGGTGAGGGGACTGGATGGATATATAATGAGGGGACTGGATGGATATATGGTGAGGGGATTGGATGGACAGTGAGGGGACTGGATGGATGGTGAGGGGACTGGATGGATGGTGAGAGGACTGGATGGATGGTGAGGGGACTGGATGGATATATGGTGAGGGGACTGGGTGGATGGTGAGGGGACTGGGTGGATGGTGAGGGGACTGGATGGATGGTGAGGGAACTGGATGGATGGTGAGGGAACTGGATGGATGTTGAGGGGACTGGATGGATGGTGAGGGGACTGGATGGATGGTGAGGGGACTGGATGGATGGTGAGGGGACTGGATGGATGGTGAGGGGACTGGATGGATATATGGTGAGGGGATTGGATGGATGGTGAGGGGACTGGATGGATATATGGAGAGGGGACTGGATGGATGGTGAGAGGACTGGATGGATGGTGAGGGGACTGGATGGATGGTGAGGGGACTGGATGGATGGTGAGGGGGACTGGATGGATGGTGAGGGGACTGGATGGATATATGGTGAGGGAACTGGATGGACAGTGAGGGGACTGGATGGATGGTGAGGGGACTGGATTGATGGTGAGGGGACTGGATAGATGGTGAGAGGGACTGGATAGATGGTGAGAGGGACTGGATAGATGGTGAGGGGATTGGATGGATGGTGAGGGGACTGGATGGATGGTGAGGGGACTGGATGGATGGTGATGGGACTGGATGGATGGTGAGGGGACTGGGTGGATGGTGAGGGGACTGGATGGATGGTGAGGGGACTGGATGGATGGTGAGGGGGCTGGATGGATGGTGAGGGGGCTGGATGGATGATGAGGGGACTGGATGGATGGTGAGGGGACTGGATGGATATATGGTGAGGGGACTGGGTGGATGGTGAGGGGACTGGGTGGATGGTGAGGGGACTGGATGGATGGTGAGGGAACTGGATGGATGTTGAGGGGACTGGATGGATGGTGAGGGGACTGGATGGATGGTGAGGGGACTGGGTGGAAATGGGGGACAGATAAACGGAAAATGAAGAGGAAATGTGTGAAACATTAAACAAAAAGTTCCAAAGTGTGATTGTAAAAAATGAGATCTTCAGAGAACCACACACAATAAGAATTCCAGAGAATAGCATAGAGCACATAGAGGTGTCTAGAGATAAAGTGAAACAAATGCTCCCGGATCTAAGTAAGAACAAAGCAGTTGGCTCAGATGGAGTTTCACCATGGGTTCTAAGAGAATGTGCACCTGAGCTCAGCATTCCTCTTCAGCTGACTTTTCAGACATCCCTGTATACAGGAGTCATAGCAGATGTGTGGAAAAAGGCTAACATAGTTCCAATCTACAAAAATGGCAGCAGGTAAGACCCCCTCAATAATAGACCTGTATCATTGACAAGTGTAATAGTCAAAATATTGGAAAAAATATAATAAAAACTAAATGATTAGAGTACCTGGAAAGAAATAATATAATATCAGGCAGACAGTATGGTTTTTGATCAGGAAGATCCTGTGTATCAAATTTACTCAGTTTCTATGATCGAGCCACAGAGATTTTACAGGAAAGAGATAGTTGGGTTGACTGCATCTATCTGGACCTAAAAAAGGCTTTCAACAGAGTTCCACATAAGAGGTTGTTCTGGAAACTGGAAAATATTGGAGGGGTGACAGGTACAGGTTAACACATATCTCTCAGGCAGCTATCCAAACTCTCTTCTCCTTTCACCAATCAGCCCGGCAGATGTTGTGTCAATCATACACTCTCTAAAAACCAAGGCAGGGAACACCAGTGAAATTCCGTCCATTGTGTACAAGAGGGCCTTCCATGCCCTTGCCCCACCCATAGCACTACTGTTCAACAAATCTATAGAGTGTCACACCTTCCCTCATATCCTCAAAAAAGCAAGAGTAACGCCAGTCCATAAAGGAGGCAATCCGGCGGACATAAACAATTATAGACCAATATCAAATCTACCCATTCTATCAAAAATATTT